GCCACCAGGTCAGGCTAATTTTTTGTATCTTTAGTAGAGACGGGGTTTTACCATGTTGGCCAGCCTGGTCTCAAACTCCTGACCTTGTGATCTGCCTGCCTCGGCCTCCCAAAGTGCTGGGATTACAGGTGTGAGCCACTGCACCCAGCCCAAAGACAGTATTCTTAATGGGAAACCCAGGCCAAAAAAGTTGGTAAAATACTAAATTCATCAGTTAATATGGAAGTACAAACTTTAAAAATTGATCTGTATATTTTATAAAATTGTGACAATATTTTTGTTATGCTATTAAAAGTCCCTTATTTCCACAAAAAGCAAAGCAATAAGCCCTCTCAAGAGTCCAGAACTAGAAATCAATTAAAGGGTTAAGAGAATGGTCATTGGTGTTTGGGGCAGACCTGGTTCTAATTCTAGCTGCTACTAACTGTGGCCCAAGTCATACAATTTCGCATCCTTAAACCTTAGTTCATCCATCTTTAGAATGAGGTAATATTAGAACTTTAGACAGCTGTGATAATGAGCTACTCTATGTAAAGAACTTGACCAGTGCCCAGCATATACAGATGCTCTAAAAGCACAGCTAGTTCCCAGATGACTATCATTTTTTACTGTAATTGAGGGTTATACTTTACTACATTTTCACCTTCAGTCTGCTTCCAGGAATTTCTAAACTAAGTTTATATTCAACTGCAAAAGTTCCCTCAGCCTAGGTTTGTAAAATACAATTATTTTCCTTCCCCATCTCCAACTCCCTTTACTCCATTTGGACCTTTTTCCTTTTGTTTAAATCATGTTTAGTCTTGTTTCAAGCCCCCTTGAAAATCATTTTTAGAAGTATGCAGAACACGAATAAGTTGATAATAAAGTAAGTGCCAAGTTAATTCACAGATACAGACAATCTCAAAACCAAATGCATTGCTGACCATAATGTTTTAGGGTACAGATTGAATGCACACTTTAACTTGAAATAGCCAAATCACTCAAAAGATACTAATAAATGTTTTAAAAGCTTTGACACTTCTCTTTAAACATATAAATAATTACCTTTAAAAACTATCTGTAGCCATAAAGGTATGAAAAGTTTTATTCACCCAGTCAATAGCAGTCTCATGTATATTCCTGCTCCCTATCGAAAGAGCAGTGTAGTCAGTGGGTGAAATTTTTAATTTTAAAAGTTCCACACATGGAAAACAATATGGCTCTCCCAATAGGCATAGAAAGGGGCTCTCTTCCTCACCGCTCAGAGGTCTTCGAGGCTGATGGACAACTTGTTGCCTCAGAGGACATATTTTGAATGGCCCTATCCGATGACTCATGGGTTTCATTTTACGCATGCGGCTCAGTGAAGCAGGTACTGACATTCCTGCTTCCAGAGCTTCTCAGCCCTAAATACATAATCCAAAAGCATCAGAATAGTACTAGCACAGTTGTAGGAGCCCCTGAAATGTCAGCTAATACAAATTGAGATCACCAGCAGAATATAAAGTCCTTTTAGAAAAACTATGGAGAAAGTTTGCCTTTCTCTTTCAAGTTAGTTCCCCTATCAAAAAGCATGCCACCGTTTGTATCTAGAAAGTAAGAAGGGTATACTCACTGCCAGCTGTCATCACTTCATGTTCCCGTTCCTCCTCTTCATCCTCTGGCTCCGGATGTCCCTCTTCCCGGTCTCTTTCAGCCTGTTCTTCCATTTCAGCTTCTTCATCAATAGTTCGAGTAAATGAATGCTCCTGAGGATCAACATCTGCAGAGTCCTGGTTTTCTGATATCTTAAAGAAATTATCAGAAACTATACTAACTACATTTTTTCCAAAATCTTTTTAAAACTTTAAAAAAACTTAAATTTTTTATCATGGAAAATATTGATATCAGTAATAACAACAAACTTTACTACAAAAACCCAAAAGATACACTCTTAAAGATTAGAAATAATGTATGTACACAAAATATATACGGACACATATACGCTCCTCCTTCCTCATTATTTTGATTAAAATGTCATGCTGTAAATTTATTCATATCTATATTGCTATTCAGCTATAAATTCCTACAGAGCTGCAACTGAGTAAGTTGTGATGAACACAATACCAAGCATAAAAGGTAATTAAAGCACAGAATTTCCATTCCATTCCATTCTCTTCAAGTTGTTTATGTTACTATTACTCTGCATACATGTTTAATAACTCTAAATTTAAAACAGTATCAGTTTTCTTTTCTTTTCTTTTTTTCTTTAACTTTGCCCCTGAACAAACCAAAAATTAGAAATCTGCTAAGGACAATGTCGATTTTATTTCCCACAGTGGTTACTACCTAGCAGTCATCTAGATAAAGGAAAGAATCCTTAAAACAGATACTCAGTCATAAATATCATTCAATATAAAGCACAAATGAAAAACTTTAATTATATCCTCAGATCCATCATAAAAGTTACCTGTGACTCATGACCATTAAATAACTTAAGAATTTTACAGAGATGGGGATACTGAGTAGTCAGACTCACATAGTACGTCATTTATCCCCATATACGAGTTTCAAATCTGAGCCTCAACAAAATGGCAAATTAATACATTTCATGGACTTTCAAGGTCACCAACAAACAGATCCACAAATATTAAGTCAGTACATGCCAAAAGTCTACAAATAGAGAGACAGAGCTTGGTTTTTTAAATCTAAGGACTAAATAATGGAGTGCAAAGCATCTGATTAGTTAAGTTTCAAAGTAAGCACTACGAAGATGTTTTATTATCCAGGCTTACATTTATAATTTTATGATCATGTTATCAAGATTACCAAGCACTTCAGAAATTATCTCCTTTTTGCTGCAAGAATTACTTCTGGACTGTTCTTAATAAGTAGTTTCGGCCGGGTGAGGTGGCTCACGCCTATAATCCTAGCACTTTGGGAGGCTGAGGCAGGAGGATCACTTGAGGTGCTCAAACTCCTCACTTAAGGAGTTCAAAACCAGACTGGTGAACACGGTGAAACCCCGTGTCTACTAAAAATACAAAAAATTAGCAGGGCGTGGTGGTGTCTGCCTGTAATCCCAGCTACTCGGGAGGCTGAGGCAGGAGAATCACTTGAACCCGGGTGGTGGAGGTTGCAGTGAGCCAAGATCGTGCCACTGCACTCCAGTCTGGGCAACAGAGCGAGACTCTGTCTCAAAAATAAAATAAAAAAATAAGTAGTTTCAATCTTCATTTCCAATGGTAGACAACTCTAATCATCATCAGGCCTACTTTCCTTATATCCAGCTAACAATGATTCCCCATTTGATTGTTACCCTTTGGTCCTAGTTGTGTCCTCCGGAACAAGAAACACATTTATTTCTTTTCTTACAGAGAAGCTCTTTAAGTATTTTTAAGGCAGCTATTATGTCACACACACACACACACACACAACCCCCTCCTTGGTTTTCACTTCTCTAAGCTAAACATTTTTGATACTTTCTAGTACTTATATGACATAATTTTTGGACTTTATCAATCCAAGGTATTTCTTAATGTCCCTCATAAATTATGGCACCCCAAATTAAACAGGGTAATTCAAATGTGGCCTGATCAGCACAAAGAGAGGAATAATAATTCCTACGATTTGAATCATTCAATTTGTTATTAATATTTATGCAGCCAACTAAACTTTCTTAGAATCCATATCGCACTTGGTAAATGTGAGGTTAAGTAAATCTCAAATCCTTTCCTTTTTTTTTTTCTACTAGAAAAAGAACTACTTAACATGTATTGAACATATGCAACGACCAAGGCACATTTTTTTCTCACATAAACCAATTTAGAGCTAGCTCTCACCGCTTGCAGAAAAACATAGAAATTAATTGATTTCAAACTTTACCCATCTGTCCCGTGATGATGACCTGGTTTGAATAAGTTCAAGGTTCTTGCAAGCAAGTAAACGACTTCGAACTTTGTATACACAACGGTACACTTCTGATAAGTGTTTACCAGGTTGATATCTAAATGAAGAACCAAAATAGAAAAGTTACCTAATTTCTAACATCATGAGAGCAAATATTTGTCTGAGGATAGTTTTAAGTTACTTGCCGGCTTTCTCCACATGCTTGACTAAGTAAGTTTGTGTGTTTCAGAAGAGCTGCAAGAACAAATCTAGACACAGTGTCCAAGAGTGACTCATTACTTAAAGTTGCACTGTCCCAATCTGAAAATAAAAATGATGCATTGACATTTAAAAGGGCTCAGAAAACAGTTCAGAGGTAATTTTTATAGCTTTAGTCATCCAACACCTGAATTTTATCATCTTTCTAAACAGTTACTTAACAAATGCACCTCATTAGATCCCACTTACTGTTCCAAGTGCTGCGGATATAGCAGTGAACAAAACTAAATCCCTGATCTAACAGAGCTTATATTCTTAGGAGGAGGGGGGCGGGAGAGAATATTAAAAAGAAAACGTTAATATGACAGTAAGTGCTATGAGGAAAAATAAAGCAGGGTAAGGAGAACAGGCACTACTGTATATGTGGGATTACTATTTTATATAGGGTGGTTTGGGAAAGTTTCTGATAAGGTTACATTTGAGCAGAGATCTAAATGAAGTGGAGGAAGAAGCCATGTGAAACTGGGTCCCCTCAGAAAAACCTAGTGCAGAGGATCTGGGATGGGTTCAAGGAGGCCAGTGTGGCTGGGGCAAACCGTGCATGCACGGAATGGGTAGAAGACATCAGAGAGCTGGCTGAGGACCAGATCCCAATGGCCTTGCAGGCCAGTACAAGTCCTCCAGGTTTTACTCTGAGAAAAATGAGAAGCAGCATTAGAAGGCTTTGAACAGAGATACGACATTATCTGACTTGTATTTCTGACAGCTGGCTCTGCTGAGTGGAGAACTGACTTATAGGAACAGCAACAGCAGAAGTAATTATTGCAGCAATACAAGGGAGAAATGATAATGGCTCAGAAAAAGGTAAGAGCAGCGAAGGTAATGACAAGTGGCTGGAGAGTCCACATGTATTTTGAAGGTAGAATCGACAGGATTTGTTGATAGATCAGATGTGTGATGTGAGAATATGAGAGAAGTCAAAGGTGATTCTAAATATATTTAAAATGTAGTTGGCATTTACTGAGAAAGGAAGACCACAGGAGCAGTTTTGAGGGTAAGAAGCTGGAATCAGGAGTCTAGTTTTGAATACTTCCCATTAGACATTCTAGAGGAGATAGCGAGTAAACTAATCGCCTATACACATATCTGGTATTTGAAGCCATAAAAGTATATACTGTGAATACAAGTACATTTAAGTGGGTGAGAAATGAAACAACATTTCTTCAAATAGAAACAAAGACATGTAGTTGAAAACCCAAACAACATTAGATGATGAGGACTAGTCAGGCGCTTTTTCTTCCCATTCTTTTTTTTTTTTTTTTTTTTTTAAAGAGACAGTCTTGCTCTGTGGTCCAGGCTGGAGTGCAGTGGTGACTGTATGGCTCACTACAGTCTCAAAACCCTGGGCTCAAGCGATCCTCCAGCCTTAGCCTCCTAAGTAGCTGGAGCTACAGGTGTGAGCTACCACACTTGGCCTCTTCCCATTCTTTAATTCTATGTTGGCACACTAGTATTGTACTTTAACAATGTACATTTAACAACGTAGTACATTTCAAATGGGGGTGGGAGAGTTATTGTCCACTCTGCTCCCAGAGGGACTGCTAGTCTCTGTTCATTTGACAGATTTGCTAAATGTCTGGGCTACTTATAAACAAAACAAAACCAACCTCAAATTAATTTTGGTTCTTAATTCCTTCTTAAAACTCTCATCTCCAGAGATAAAAATGTTATATGTTGGTTTTCATTTCAGTATGCCTAAGTCAGAAATTTAAGTTCAGACTGATCCTGCTTTATTGGTAAAAAAAA